AATGCACTACTATTAATCCCTTTTCACAACAGGTAAATACAGAACGTTCACAACGTAAGAAAGACTTGCGAACGTTCTGGCAGGGGGTGATCGAAGAATGTGGAAGGGCTAAACGAAAACGTGACGACGAAGAGAAAGAAAATCTTAACCCATCAAAAAAACACGCCCAATCTGTTATTTCTCTCATGTGCCTTATTCAGGGAAATTCACTCACAAATGCTTTTGAAGTTGATATTGAGAAGAACAAGACTATTAGCAAGCTCAAGGATGCTATCAAGAAGAAGAATGCACGAACTTTCTCCAACATAGATGCTAAAGACATTAAGCTGTGGAAAGTGGAAATACCTGACAATCGTAATGACCAGTTGAATAATTTTTCATTTCATGACCAAGACGAACTTCTTGCAATGAAGAAGATTTCGAAATATTTTCCCTTTACGCTTCCCGAAGAGCATGTCCATGTGATCGTAAAGTTGCCACGTAAGTGTTGATAAAATATGCAATTTTTATGTTACTTTCCCTCGTACTATTTACTTAACACGTTTCGTTTCAGTTCTCAGCCTGGAAGAAGCGCTGTCATGTATCTTACCACCCATCACGTATTCTCCAAAATGTACAACATCAAAGGCCACTACAAAGGCCAATGGTGACCCGCCAACAAAAGTACTTTTATGGGGAGACTTTTTCGAAGAGGCTAATCGGTTCCAATTCAGCCAACAACCGAAATTCGAAAAACCGCAGTTTGTCCAAAATAAAGTGGTATTTTGTGAAGAGGACGTTCGCGTTGCTATCGATGTCAATATATGCATGGTATTAAATCAGCTTATGGGACCAGGTTATAACTTTTCGAGGCGTCGAATTCATAACTCCTGCATACCGGATTTCAATTGCTATTTGTTGGAATTATTGATTTTGGTGTTTGAAGCTAAAAGAAAGCATGTTTTAGAAGATATAGGTGACTGGACATTTCCCGAATTTTACTGGGCAAACAAAAAGGTAAGAATGGTAATCCAACAAATCTACAATTATATGGGAGTAAATGAGCTTAGATATGCTATTCTTACTAGTTATGATAATCATTGGTTTATACGCCGAGAGCATACAGAGCTTTGGATTTCGAAGACTCTTCAGTTACAATCAGAATCTCCACCAATACTAAAAACATATGCTTATCTAGCTCGACAAGCAAAGGAGAATTCTCATTCTCCTCATCCTTTAGTACTAATACCAGCTCACGGGAATACTGGGTCACGCATTCTTCGATCACATTTAAAATTATCTTCTAGCCAGTCAATAGATCAATAATTAACTTCTGGCACATTGGTAAATAATATACATTAGTGTAGAAACATCCTGTATTGGATCTTGGTTAGTGATGCCACTAAAATTGATTTTGGAAAAAGGCCTATATTAGAGCAAATTGAAATTCTTTATAAAGAGGAACAAACAAAATTTAAAATAGGTTAAACCCAATTTTATCTTCAAATTTTAATTTTTGGTTTTAGATCCCGAAATAGGTTGTCTATATGTATAATCTTGATATTTAGTTTTTAGTGTTACCTTATACTGTATGGTTTGTTGGAAGAGTTTTGGAGCCTATAAAGTTTTCTACCAATACAAGTAGTATAGTGAAATTCGTTTTGATTGGATATTAGTTTAAATATTGTTATATGAGTTTTTTTATATTATTTTACAATAGAAAAATTTTAATCTAAAGTAGTGATATCGAAGTTTTTATAATAAAGGCCCCTGAAATTTTGTTAATAGTTTTTTGGACGCCTAACTTTCATATAAAAGCTCGGGATCAAGTGGGATCAATTCTTCCATCAACTTTTATTAGAAGCGATTCTAACAATCCCAGCATGTAGTATTATAATACTACTATGTATTTTTTAACTTTTAAAGTATAATAACGTGATACTTTTCTTTGAATAAATGTTTTACACTTCACGTGAGCAAGATAAGATTAAAAATCAATCATTTTATGGAATACTATGAAAGTATCAGACACAAATCTTTAGAAATACGAAAGTTAATCCTTTTAATTTGACCAATCAGAATTTTTTGTTGATTAACTAATCAACCCAAATTTCTATTATGCTAATACAAGTGCAATTACCACATCAAAAAACTCGCCAATTTATTCTACAAAGCGAATGTTACAAAAAAAAAAAAACAATCATAGCAAAGCAGTCAGAAATAATAGCTTAGCGTTTATATTCCGAAAGATTCGAAGATAAAGTAGGTCCGAAGATGCAAGATCACAAATTATGCTGAAATGAAACCTTACCTTTCGATGGATATTTATGTGTAATGACCTGTAAAGCAAGAAAAATCAATAAGCTATTTGGCTATGAATATGCCCTGTAACTCTGAAAAGATTGATGGTATAGCAGGGTATATGGTTAATCGGGTCACCTGTAGTGCTGACAAAATTTCAAAACTCACTAACCCTCAAATTGAATACATCATAGAACAGGTCAAATCGAAGACAATTACAAGTCATGTGAACGAAATCTCCGAGACCATGGCTAATACATCAGCTAATGGCTCCAACTCAGATGACCCAAAGGGAAACAATTCTAGCGACACCGCAGACGTTTCAGATGAGGACAAGGTAACCGATAGCGATGGCGATTTTGATAAAATAATCATGAAAGCTTTCGAGGAGGAAGAGGTCAGGATAAAGAAAGGAAGGCAGAACAAAACGTCATCAGTTGTGGAAACGGATGCTAAGGTAAATGACTATGATGATAATGATGTGCATTTTGATGAGGTGAATGATATAGTCTCTTTAGGTGTGGACGGTGGCAATTTCAATTAATGTAATGATGTCTCCGATTCCGATGATTCTGAAGAAGAGATGCAGATGATTCGGATGATGGGTATGATAGATAGAATATAGTGGTCGTGATAGAGGTTATTACTATAATTTAAGTAGCGGAAAAAAACTTCCAAAAAATCTGATTATTTAATTAGCGCATATTAATACGCATTGTGGTTTTCATATAGGTATTTCCCCTTTTTTGAATTTTACTTTTTTTTTTTGATTTTAAAGTTTTTCATATAGTAGCTAGAAGTTTTTCTTCCTACTTGGAAAGTTAGAAAAAGAAGATTTAGAATTAAGAAAAGAGGAAGCAATCATAATGAGCTTAAGGATGTAAATGCCTTTCAGTGAAATATTAAGTTTTTCGGTAGTAGGAAAAATTAGTATAGAGAAAAAATTTTACTATAGCAGATCGAACATGGGCAAATTGAACTTCAGTTACAGAAGCCAGGTTAGTCAATACTTGTCACTTAGGTTAGGTAATATAGCAAGTTCTATATAACCCAAAATCAAGACTTAGATAAGTGATAAGAGCCTAATAAAATATTAACATAATGCTGAATTTTTTTTTAAAAAAAATAATAATTTTAGCAATATATTTTCTAAGTAAAATATTTAATTTTAAATTTGTTTTATTAACTTCATTAAGAAAATTTTTTAAAATTATTAAAAAACTTTAGTGTAATAAAAGTTTAAAGTTCTTGTATTAAAATTTTTACTATAAAAATTTTTTTTTAGATTTTTTTAAATTTTATATATTTTCTGCCTATAAAAAAATCTTTGCTTCTAAGCAAAGTTTTAGTAAATCACTAAAAGTATAATATATATATATCTTTTTTTAACTTCATGGGTCTTGCCATAACTGGCTCGACTTTATTAAAATATAATAATCATATACATATAATGTTTGTAAAACCAAAAGCCCAACCTCATTCAATTATTCAAAGAACCTAAATACAATCTGTTGCACTATATTCTCAAAAGAACCAGAATTATTTTAACAAAGGATCTATAAA